TATATGAGAAGAGCAGGACAATTAAAATCTCTGGTGTGGAATCTAGAAAGTGGTAAAAGGGAAGGAGAAAATAAATATCTTTGGCTTTCATGAGCCTAAGAAATATCTGCTGCAAGTAAAAAGCAAACAGGACAAAATATATTACAAATTCTTTATTCTATATATACATGGGAAAGCTTTTTCTGTCTAAACACTTTCCCTTGTTTAAATCAGTGAATTACTCTAGGCTTTTCCTTGTCCACGAAGCTATAATCTGTATTTTATATTGTGCCATTTTTCTGCTTCTGGTTTGCAATGTGACCCAATAAACTCGCTGCACACTGATGCAATAAAACTTCTGTGACTAGTTTGCCACATATTCTTTTTGATTAATGGCATAAATGAGAAAATACATTTGGATTCCTCTGGTAGACTCAGTACTCTGCAGGGGAATTTCACTGCCTTGAAGGACATGTTCAAACCTATGTCAAGCCTTATGATGTTTTTCAGCGTTTCAACTTTGCCACAGGTAATCAGAAAGAAATATTTATACGTTAAAATATATTTTCAATGTAGATTTGAACAGCACTTGAAAGTTTCCTGAGTTTCTAGCAGGAAAATAGGAGATTCATGTGTGCCCTGTGAAAGATTAGCAGAAATGCGCCCTATTTCCATAGACAACCTAGCGCTAATGACAGAAGGTGATGAAATCAATCAAGTAGAACAATAATTCCTAATGAACCAGTTTTACATTTCATTAACTTGAGTGCCAAGGTTGTTCTTAATCACTGCTTTTTTTTTTTTTTTTTTTTTTTTAAACTCTCATAACGAATTAAGTAATTAGGAAAACAAGGACTATCAACCTAATAGAACTCGAGCCCGTGCCACGCAGTTTGTGTCTGAAGGCAGTGAGGAACGTGGGCTCAGCGGCTCCGCGGGCTGCGGACTCCTCACGGTCCTGGCCTGAGGAGCTGCACAAGGTTGTGGTGTGCCTGCTACAGTGATGAAGAGGAGACAAACTCGATCTTGTCTTCATGCTGTAAACAGTAATTCAAACACTGCGGCAATTTAATTGGGTAGAAACTAATACAGTCGGTCTAGGATTATTTTTACTGTCACTGATGACTCTTACTTTAATTCAACTTCTACCGACTCATTTCCATCAAGCTTAACTCTTACTTAAAACAAGAACGGGAATATAGCTTCCTTTAGGAATACAGGAATGCAATGTGCAATAGTCACATTTTAATATACACACGAAGCAAAGTTTCTCTGATGCAGGGGTTTGTTTCAAGAGAAAATTGCTATGGGACAGAGAGACACCTAGATACATATTTTACAGAGGATGGACTAGAATTAACTCTGTTAGTCTGAAGAACATTGAATTTCAGGAAAATCTAAAACTAGCTTTGAATTTTGCAGCTAAAACCAGTTTGTTATTAAACGGTAAACCCCCTGATCTTAAAACACCTAGGCTTCTATTTTTCACTGAATCCAAGCTTTCTGCGTCAATTCTTGATCTGTTCTGAAGATGTCTATGTATATGTATGTATGTATACAGGTGCATACATGAAGGTATGTGTACACATATAGTTACCAGACTTGTCCAACCTTTCACTCTCACTAAAGTCAGTGGGTTGTTTAAAAGTTCAGAGGCTGAACAACTAGATACAAACCCTATCCCCTGTCTGAATGCTATATCAAAATCTTTCGGGAAGACAGCGCTTTATTCGCTGCAAAAGCCTCCTGTGGGATCTACCGTAAAATCAAACTGGTAATCAATCTAGTGGGAGTGTCATGCAACTTGCATTTGCTTCCTTACACCTTGTACTTTTATTTTTATTAAACCTATGAAGAACTTTATTAAAACTATATTAAAAATACTCTTTTCTTAATCGATTTCTTCTTACTCCTTGATTTGAAAGCAGCAGACACCTCTGTGTTAGACATAGAAGAATTGCACTTGCTACGTGTAGCAGTGGTTCCCAAACCAAAGGGAAGGATGCGGGCTCCTTCCACATCCCAAAACCCAAAGAGTTTTAGCTGGCACCTTGGGAGGAAGTTTAAAGAGCACTCAGCAGCCTGCGGGTGCTGCCTGCAGTGCCGACCACCCCCATCCCGCTGCCAGGGAAGCAGTGCCAGCACGCGGCTGGGGTGAAAAACGGGGACAGGACTGGCCCTTCCAACAACCGTTCCCATTTAGATCACCCTCTCGGCGGTATCGCGTCGCATCCTTAGGGTGCAGACACGCGACCGGGCTGAGCCAGCGGGACCGTTCTGCCTCCAGCACCCCAGAGCACCCGGCCCTGCAACACGTCCCGCGGCCGCGCTGCCGGCCTGCCTGGCCGCATCCCCGGCGCTTTCCAACCCGCCTGAAAGTTATCTCAGCAAAGAACGGCTTTACAGCGTTCTGCTCTCTTAGTGAGTTGAGTAAATTCGCTGGGCAGCAAGACACGTGTTTTGCCGGGGGAAGGGACTGCACTAGGCAGGCAAGACCAAGAGGAAAACAAGGAGGTGGTGGTGGAGGAGGAAGAGGGAATGTGCTTGTTTCTTTCAGTAGCAATCAGAGCAGCTCAGATCTGAAGTCTCCATGCTTTGTTTCTGGCTCAAAGTCAGGTGTAATTAAGATTTGTTTTCAGAACTATCATTAAAACACAAATGATACATATACAGAGTTTCACAGACATGAAATAATAAAACATAATATCCTCTGGGCAATGCTGACAGACAGAGAAGTCAACATCCACACTTTAAAAAATAAAGTGTAAAATACGTATAGTTTTGGTAGCACCTAACCTATTACCCAGACAGCTTAGGACCAATCAGTAGGGAAATATTCGGATGCTTCAATCTCTCCCTCCACCTGCGTCCCTCTTCCATGTGGGACACATCTCTCTCCACCTCAGGATTGTTCCAGCCATCGCTATGGCAGATCTGCAGTTTTTCCTCCCAGATGGCAGCAGCAGCTGGTGATGCTTGCCTGTGTTCAAGCCTGGGACCCCCTGCTGAGGAACGGTGAAGCAGCTCTCCCTCTTGCCCTTCCCCACTGACTGTCCTAGGAACCCCCGAGTGAACACCCAAAACTGGTCAGAGACAGCTTCTGAAAATATATTGTGTCAGACTGAGAAACAGGATTCAAAATTTCCTGTTCCTAGTTGCCCAGTCGGTCTTTCCTGCTTGCTACGTGCCCAAGAAACAGATTGTATCGCCAGTGCCGCAAAAGGAGCTTCCTCTCGGTAAAAGGATCGGGGGTGGGGGGGAAAGCAAATATAAAAAGGATGGCCAAAACCAGCCTCTGCAGGGGAAGAAATGAGATGGCAGGGAGAGAGACCAAAACACGCTGATGATAGAAGATGTGGCTAGTGATAGTAATTCTGCTTCTGAGACTCTTTGGAGATGAAAACGGTTTTGCTCTTCTTGCATCCCCCTCCCCACTGCAAGTCTCTAGAAAGCTGTAGTATTTTCAGCACTCTTTCTACCTTTCCATTCTCTTTTCTGCCATAGTCTGCCATTTACGTAGAAGCTGTATTTCAAGCCCAGCTCTCCTGTGTGGGGGAGAACTGTACTGAGCATGTGAAAGGTGTGGATAGCTGCAAGTTTGCTGCACCTGTGGATTTTCCCCTCGTTGTTCTGATATGCAAAATTCAATCAAGTCAGTAGACACATCTTTCTTTTCAATGACTTCTGCAAGGAGATATTTTTCATAGTTGAACACGATGGTACAGAACCCTGCACCCAGCTCTCCAACAGTGAACTTTCCCTTTTTAACATTTAACTAATTTTCTAACAAGATGTGCAAGAAGGCAACTTACACAAGGTGCACATTAAAACAAATCTATTGAATTATTCTGCAGTTCTCCATCCATGGGTCAGATTCTGCTATTCTTACTCATTTGGGTAAAGAATTTACCCTCCAAGTGGTTTCATTTGCTGCAATTTGTCTTCCTGCTGCAGGACTGCAAAGTAGCCTGAGGTAACCATCCATACAAGGGAAAGAAAATGAATCTGGTCCTTTTTCATCTTATCTGACAGTAAACCTGATTCAGATACCCTTATTACATTGGGATGTACTTTAGAATATGAACTTTCCCACTGAAAACGGTGACGGTGAGATGTTATCAAGTGGGAGTCAAGGGAGAAAAAGGTGAGTGCGGTGGTCTTGACAGAGGCACTGAACCTCTGCTCCTGGACTGAGGAAAGGATGCCAGGGTCTTGCTTGCTGCACAGGAACAAACATCTGGGTCTTTGACCCCTTACCAAAGTCAGACATGCAGGAGGCTGTCCCATGGAGCTGACCCCGCCGCAGAGCGGGACACAGCCACAGGTACGCTCTCTGCCAGAGGGTGGGGAGACAATTTACCCCCCTTCGCCGCCCCCCCCCCCCGCCCCCTCGGAGCCAGCACACCCTGCCCGGTTCTGGCGGTGGGCTCGGCCGGGCCGCGCCGGCGGCTGCCGGGGCAGCAGGGCCGGGGGGGGGGGGGGGGCTGCTGGGGGGGAGCCAAGGGGTGACCCACCATGGGGGGGCCCGGGAGGTGCGTTAGTGAATGGGCACCTGAGTCGCTTCTCTCTCTTCCTCCTTTAGCCCCGGGCGGATAAAACTGGAGAACTCACTCCAGAATAAACAATCTTTCTCCCTTTTTTCCTTCCCCCCCCCGCTTTGGACGGGAAGCGAAGCTTTCACCAGAAGGAGCCGTCCGTCTCCAGGCTGACTCTTTCCAAGTGTTAGGCGGCCGCCTGGGTGGGGAAGGGTTCCCCGGCAGTCTCCATCACCCTTCAAAACCCCTTTTATTCTCGGGTGAGAAACTCGGAGGGGGAGGGAAGGGGGGGGGGGGGGGGGTGTGCGCGGGCAGGAGCCGCCAAGTGACTGCAGGGGCCGCTTGGCACCGGGGAGAGCAGACAAAAGCCGGCGGAACTACGTGGCTTAAATTCAAAAGGGGCGCTCCGGGCTCGGTCAGGGCAGCACCGGCCCGGGGAGGGGGGCGGCGGCGGGCAGCCCGGCGGCGGGGCGGGGGGAGGCGGCGGCGCTCGGCGATGGGCGCCGGCGGGGAGCGGGACACGCGTGGGAGGGGGGGAGCTCGGGGCTGAAGCGGCCGCCCAAGGCCAGCCCGGGCGCGACGATGAGGGGCATCCCGGGCTTGAAGCGGCTGCGGCTCAAAATCTGGCGGCGATGCACCCTGGTGCTCCTCCTCCTCTGGGCTGCCTGCTGGGTGGTGGTGAGCGCCTTGCTGTTCCTCCTCCACAGGAGCGTCTTCTCCGAGCGCTGCACGGACGAGAAAAGCCACCGGATCCTGGCGAGGCTGGTACGTGCCCCGGCGGGACGCGGGGCATCCCCACACACACCCCCACACACACACACCCCCCCCTCCCCTCGGGGGCTGCCCGGCAGGACGAGGCTCCGGGAGCCCCCCCCCAGGGCTGCCACAGCCTCCCACCCGCGTCCTCCCGCGCCGCCGGGGCGCTCCTGCCCGGCTCCGTCCCGCCGGGGCTGCCGCATCGCCGCCGCGGCCCCGCCGAGCCCGGCCGGGGGGGGCTGCACCGGCCCCGGCGCTGCCCCGGCAGGGAGCCCGCCCGCCCTCCCTGCTCTCCCTGCCTCTCCCCCGCCCTCCCTGCCTGCCCGCCGTGCCCCCCTCCCTGCCTCCCTGCTCTCTTCCCTGCCCTCCCTGCCTCCCTCCGTGCCCCCCTGCCCGCCCACCCGGGACCAGGACAGGTACCGGCCGCGGCCGGTGCCCGGCGGGGCGTGAGGCTGCGCTTCCCGGGCGCTTTGGAAAGGGCGGCTCGGCAGCCCGCAGGCTCCGGAGCGGGGGGAAACCTCCCTCCGGGTTTTGGTTTGGTTTGGTTCTTAGTCGAAAAGGCGTTTGGGCAAAAGTCGTCTCTCAGAAATGCCACGCAGCTTGTAATTCCTCCTTTACATCTGGCGGGAGCTGACATTTAAGATGTAGTTATTCCAAATACAAGGAAGAGTTTGTGAATATTCCTTAAAATCGCCCTTTAAAAAATAAAACAACAACAACAACAACAACAAAACAGAATTGTGCAGGAAACACTTTGAGAAGAGGAGCAGTGTGGGTTAATGCTTTGAGTTTAATTTTGTTTCTTAATTACGGTATTTATATTGCCACTGGTCAGGTGGGAAGGGAGGATTCCTAATGGACATGAAATAACCTATTACTGCAGCAAGCAAAAACTGATCATAGATTTTCCCTAAATTCTTTATAATAAGGGAAGAGGAATTATAGGCAGCAGTCCCGACAGCGTGTTTTTAATGGCAGTGAGATCCCGTTTCTTTACCCCAGCAGTCAGCTTGAAGCACAGCTGAGCTCGGGATTGCAGTCGAAGGAACGAAAATCCTGCCCGCTCCTTCTGTGGCTGGGAAAAAACCACAGAGGTATGGAGCTGCCAAGGAGCCGCCAGGCTCGGGGAGGGCCAGGCCCTTGCCATCACACTCGCCAGTAAACAGATGGACAGAGACTTGTTGCCGTTCTTCAGTTTGGAGGGAGCGTCGGGCATGACTTCAGAAGCCCGGGCAGGGATCAGATTTCAGGCCCAAGCTTGCGAAGTTGTCATTGTCGCGCTGGGATAGCTTGGCTTCAGACGCTCCTTCCCGAGGGAGAGTGGCTGAGATTGCTGTGCTCCTCTGTTCCCGCCGGCGAGTCTTCAGTAGTGTCGTTAAGGTGTGTGAGCAAGTTTTCCCGAATGACGTTAGAAAGGGATCGTCCTTCTAGTGGAACAACTAGAAAATGAGCACACCGTCATCACCTCCAAAATAAGTCTTTATACATCTCCTGAGCGCAGCATGACTTTCGCAGTCACGGCAAGTGCAGCTCATCTACGAAACAAATGATTTGGTAGCTTGAGTCTCATGGCTTTTATTAAGCAAGATTCAGCTTCCAAGAAAAACTATTTTACTAGTTGACTGTCATAGTTTCAGTAGAAGATAAGATGAGCTATTTTAAGCAAGTGGGTGAAAACTGCATGCTTGTATACCCTTGCAAATGGTATTTCTGAAGGCTTATTTCATCCTGAGTGAAATGTACATCTGTGCAGGTGTGTACTGCACTGTGAAGGCTGAGGTAGCACTGGGCATTTTGCAGATACCAACTTTTACTCTGCAAAAAAACCCACTTACTCTTTCCTAACACCGGTCTCACCTTCATTTAGACTGAACACACTAAATCATAGCAATCAATTTCTGCTTCCTCTGGAGAAATCAGTTAATTCTGATGCCTTCCAAAACCATGCCCAATATTGCATTTACATGGGAGAAGGACTTGATAAAAAGGCAGGACTCAGTCTCAGGCCTGATCCACACATAAGTGATGGTGGTACAGTAAAAGTTATTTAAATTTATATAAATCCTTAGTGGTGTTTACATTAATTTAAACTTTTACATGAATGTCAACACAGCTTTTTAAACTTACCTTGATAAGTGTACTAAGGATATTGAAAATTATGTAGCCAATTTTAAGCAGAAACAGATGAGCGAGTCCAAACCATGCTTGTGTTTGCATTTTTGTGCAGTGTAGCTGCTTTTCTCTAAGGCTTTTGGCTTAGTATCACTTTTGTATTTTACTTTAAAGAATCTGACAGTGACATTCAAGGGGCGCTCATTACGTAGATTTAAAACTGTCTCATCGACAGATCTCAAAATGCAGTCATTAAGACAGGGATGGCAGTGTCGAGGACCATTTCTGGAAGATTTCTTCGGGGAACTGATTCTTCTTTTTATCAGCAGTCATCATGATGGTATAAAATCTTGTACGGTAAAGTTTGCAGTTAGTGCAAAGGTTCATGGGTTTGTAAATAATAAACATACCATCTTTTCATTGCACAGTAATCCAGATCACCTGGTTAAATGTTTTCAGTCCTCCAAAATGTGTTTTAATACAGTAAAATGCAAGCTAGTACATGGGGGAACACAAGAGTACGAGCTATGCCAATAGGATGGAAGACTGTCTTGTAAAACTGTATGACTTTGGAAAGAACATAGGGGTCAAATAATTGCTTCAACATGAACTACCAGTGCAGACTGTGCCTAAAAGGCTGATATAATCTCTGAATTTCTCCAAAAAAAAGAGAATTAGGGAAGTCGTGTTGGCTGTCTTCGCGGCACTGGACAACAGCATTCAGTTCTGATGTCTGTGCTTCTAAGGTTGGCAGAGGGGAAAATGAAGAGAGGAAACAAGGAGGGAATAAAAACACAAAAATCATCCGGAGGCTGAAAAAATAAGGATTATAGTGGGAGGGCTGGGGAGCTAATCTTACTTAGTCTACTGTGCTTATGGCAAAATATAAAACGTTAAAATTTGGAAAAATGGGGTGGTGGGTAGTGAGGATGTGAAGGTGCAGCTAGTCTTTGCTGACCTGCCAGGTTATAGTGAACAGGAAAGTGAGGAGATTTTTTAAAGCCATTGAGTGACTCACAACTCACCACATTCTGTGAGCAGAGAGAGGCAGCCTGGAAATTGTTCAAAGTTCTTAACTACTTATTTGAGGAAGACTTTTTGAAATTCTTGCCTGCATGGGTGACTAGGAGAGAATGTTACTTCTGAAAGGCTGATCTGTGTTTCATCACTGTGAGACCAGGAACTCCTTGGTCACGTTCTCTTTCACAGATCCCAGCTTGCAAAACACTCTGCAAGTTCAGTGTAAGAAGCATCTGATTCAGAGACGGTTTGTCAGGTACTAGGTTAATAATCAAAGATTTATGGGTTCAACTGGAACAGTGGACAAGTCCTAAACAGCAGCCAGGTTCAAAAATGACTCATCTCCTATGTCTGGGAAATGTGAGACTGTTTTTTCCAGAACTACTTTTTCTCATTAATGCCATTAAGAAGGGCGTCATGGCAACAGAAGAAAATAAGCTGCATGCTCACATGTTTGTTTGAGTGCAGGTCTTCTGGGCATGTGTTCTTCCAGATGCAAGAGGTCCATTCATACAGACTGTCTAAGAGTAAAGAGTAAGATTGTCCACGGGGGCAAGTGTTCACCCATGTGGATCCAATTACAGGGCAAAGTCCTATATTCTCTTACTGTAGCAGAAGAAGTGTTGGGTTGCGGTCCTCTCCATAGGAGAGCAATGATTTTAAATGTGATTATACCTATGCTCCAAAGATACCCCAAAAATTCCTTCTGTTTGTAATCTTCTTTCTAATATTCCTTAGAGTTCCAGATGGTAAGAACTGCTAAACTACTTCTGTTAAGAAAATTACATTTCCTACTTAAAAAATAATTTGTATTACATTCATGGGAATAGATTTTCAAAAGCAAGAACGTTGATCTGCATGCTCTGAAGTCTGCAGCCAGCCCACTGAGTCTGCTTGACCATTCTGATGTGGATGTGGATGCAGAGGTGTGTTTTTCACACATGTGCATCACCTGGGACTCAGGGGCAGGACAGTCATGCCAGAGCTTGCCTACCTGGCTCTCCTTGGTGGCATTGAGTGTTCTCATTTGGACTGTGAGAATATCAGAGTATAAATAAATTCTATGCCTCTCTGAACTACTACTCCCAGCGAGCTGTTTTAGTTAATTCATCACCATTCCTGGATTTTGGACTTAATCTTGCACCCATTCCCCAGTGTATTGTTTAAGGTTGGGCTCAACGTTGCCTGGCATCAGAGCGTATTCCTCTGGTGCACATCTCGGAGACTTCTCCTAGGAAAATATATCACTTGAATTTTACGATCATGTTTCTTGTGTGAGTAACAGCAAGTCACAAATGAGGTGGGGGTCAGGCGGCCGTTGCAAGTACTCCACACGCAGGGGGAGCTGCCAACATGTTTAAATGAAGGTTCAAATGCCAGAAAGCAATGAAGAAGGCTGACACTGTCAAGCCGCCTCCCAGATGTTTGGCTTTCTACACCACCACAGTCTATTCCCCTTTCACCAGAGACCTCTGAGCATCCCCTCTACTGATTTGCCCAAAGCAGTCCCTGCAGCTGCACTTCTGAATGCCCATAGGAATAGATCGACTGCCTACACTTTTGGAAATGATGGTATGGAAGCAATTATGGGTTGAAGGAAGGGCTGGTGAGGGAATCCTTGCAGTTCTTGTACGAATTTGCAGGACCACTTAACTATCAAGCAGCAGTTCCCATGTTCCCACAGGCTGATTTTTTTCCAATTAAAAAAAAAAAAAAAAAGAAGCAATTTGTATTAGAATGTAATTTCTGATAATTACATATAAAACCTGGAAAAGTAATTTTGTCCTACAGCATTTACATATTTTAAAACTCTGAAAGTTCTTAGTCCAAGAGGTATTGAGTGCAACCTCTGTGTTTCCTGGTACAGCAGAAGTAGGTTCTTACAGCTTCATTCAGGGCAAGGCTGAGACATGCAGGGCTGCAGAAGGTCCCAGCAATCCAATTACCCATGGATTTTCCTGTAGTTTAAGTGGGGCTGTCACAGTTACGCGGCGCTGAACCTTCCAGAGAAGGCCTGCATTACAGTGGACGTTGTCTCCCCTGCCTGAAAGTGTTGCAGCCCAGAAGCTCACATAGCACAGCCAAGTATGTTCAAAGCTTGTCTCACTGAATTCATATGTGGCCAGAACTTCAGAGTAACAGGTCATCTAGTCCATTCCTTTGCCCCCCAAAAGCCTGTCCTTTACCATCCCAGGAATCCCTGTTTTGAAGCAAGCCTCCTACTAGTAAGAGGTCTCTAGAGACTTCTGAAAAACCACTGAATTGCCCAGTGGCTGTAGAAGGTGTGTGCTTGCGGCACCACGACTGCAGCAAGCCTCTCAAGCTTACGACTGTTGCTGATTCTTTGCCTTTCTTCTAAGTGGTCCATGGACATATGGCCCTGGTATGAATATTCTGCTCTTTCACTCCAGTGTCTTGACTACAGCAGCGGAACCCTGACTGGCGACCTCTGTGAAGACCTGTGTGTGGCACAGAAGCTGGTGTACAAACACTGCCTTTACTATGACAGAGGTAAGAAGGTCATCCAGGCTGACTGGAGAGGCCAGCCCATCATCCTGAAATCCAAAAAGGAAATATTCTCTAGCTACCAGCATCTCAGTATGCTAGAGGAGGTGGAAGCCCAGGATATTCCTGAAACAGAGCTTCTGCTGATGGTAGCCTTGGAGGTCAAAAATGTCCTGGGGCTAGAGCTGTCTAACAATACCATGGGGCCCCTGTGGACACAGAAGAAGGGACCACGTTGGAAAGCACAGGTGGCCAGCATGTGGTCCTTGCTCCAGCAGGAAGAATATATCTACTTCAGTTTGCTGCAGGACTTCAGCAAACACGTGCTACGAATCATTGGCTCTTGTGGACACTTTTATGCTGTGGAGTATCTCACAGCTGGACATGCCTGGCACAAAACTCTTTTTCCCTTGGAAAACATGGTCGGTCCCTCCCTTGCTGGCCACAGAAGCAGCGTGCGAGCCATCACTGACATTGCACTCAGCTTTCTGGACATGGTGCAGCATTTTGATAACGATTTCTCTCACCGGCTTCACCTGTGTGACATCAAACCAGAAAACTTCGCTATCAGGCACGATCTCACGGTAAGTTGGGGTTTTGGGGTGGTGTTGCAGCAATTTGAGGTCCAATTCTAGTCTGAAAATGGCAGTGTAAAAATGACACTTCCCTCCTCATACAGCTTTTGGCCAAGTTTTTGCAAAACCAATGCATTTACAAACGACAGGGGAGATTCTCTACTGTTTTTCCTCTTTGTAATATGTGCAGCCACATTTCAGAGCACTAAATCCTGCTGCTTGTTTTGAGAACTGCTTGCTCAGTTCTGATTTGTTTCATCTCCTCAAAGGCACCAGTACCAACAGGGTCTCTCGGACGTGGTGAGAGATACCTCCTGAAAGCAAGGAGATCTCAAAAGCTGTAAATGAAGCTGTAATTTGAGTGACGGCAACTATTTCTGGTAGTGATGCTGAAAGGAAAAACCGGTTGAATGTGAAAGCTAAGGCTGAATTATCTGGCCTGGCACAGGGGGAACTCCCCACATCCAAACATGGACATTTGTGCTTTAGTGTTCAGCTTATCAGGTCTGGAAATGATCTAAGGACAGCAGCACTAAACTCCCCAGTACTGTTACTCCTTGACTTTTCACTGTACAGCTGTAACTCAGACCTGAATAGCTCTGCATGTTTTCTAAGTGGTGGTGCAGCTCAGCACCACATCGCTGCATGTATCTCGCATTCATTCCGTGGACAGAAATTCCACTGGTTTCAGTGGGAGTTGTGTGTACGGACTGGAGGAGCCATGCAGTAAGTAAGTGTTAGGACCAGGCTCACAATTCGCAGTGACATCAGTGGAGTTTCTGCACTCTTAAGTGAATATAAAGCATTTTCAGGGACATCAATGATATTTTCAGTACTCACTGAGTGTTATATTAACACTTTCATCTTCAGAGCACCAGACAAACATTGCCTAAAAATATAGCCATTAAGAGCAATTAGAGTGCTTCCCCTTCACCCTTCCCTTCCCTCCCATTGTTTATTCAGGTGCAATACAGCAGCTGAACAGGGAATGGGTGAGGAGCTACAGCAAGAAACTGAAACAAGCACACCAGTATTTAGGCAAAGTGAGGTACGGCAGGGATTCCTCAAGGCAGGCTTTGCCCATCTTTTTCATTTATGCAGGGCTGTGATTGCGTGTGGCTGAGCACACACCAGAGCATCTGTTTTACAGCCTACTTAATGGAAAAGAGATTTCATTTAGGAAAAGAGAAGGGATATCGGAATTCCCTTTTGAGTCCTTCTGGTGAGGCTTGCTTCTCCAGGATCTTCCCGTGACCTCTGGGGTCCAAGGAGACAGCAGTCACTTTCTGGTACAGGAAATTTCTGTAATTTAGTATTTTTTAGAGGAATTGATTAAAAAAAAAAAAAAAACCAAAAAAGGTTGCCACTCACACGTGACTCTCCCAGTTGTACATTACCTACTGCTCATTAGTATCTCCTGTTGGAATCCCACCCCACTGGGCTGGGAGACGGGAGATAACACAGTCAGAAATCTGTGGAGCAGGGCGGGGGGCGGGACAGAGCGAGCTGATGGGTGAAGAAGGAAGGAGAGGCAGAAACTCTAGCTGGTTTTACCAGCCAGTTCCAGAACAGGGACACAGCAAGGCAGCCTCTTTTTTTGCCCCTCATGTTTGTTTTAAGCAAGTTTTTCACTTGCTTCTTTCTTGTGCTCTGTATAGGATGATAATAAACACCCATAACAGTGCCACTGTTCTTCATCCCAGTAATGAGACTTCTAATGCCCAAAGAAATGTGCCTGGAGTGCAATAGTTTTACTTTGAGGGTTAATTTCAAATGGTGGGGATAAGCCTCCAGCCCTTACTCCAACCTTCACATGCTGTTCCTGCAGCACAGAGAGGGGAGATCACTGCCTGGTAGATCATCCAGGGGAATTTTAAGCTGCCATGAAGCTGCATAAGGGGCAGAGTTGGAAGCAGGTCTGGGTGAATATACAGTGCCCTAGGGGAGCTTCCTATTTTACCAGCACATCTGAGAGAAATAGGAAGATTACAGCACCTTAAACATGACTTTAAATCAGGTCACGAGCCAAGCTGGGTCCTTTCTGCATTTCCTTAGATACCCTCATCATCAATTACAATCATAACAAACCCCACCAAAATGTAGCTGTTTATAGGTAGAGTGTCACCTAGATCTATCTTCAGAGCGTCTGGCCGGATGCCCTCACATTTTTGCAACAGATTAACTTGAGTGAAACCGCTGAGCCCTTTGGCAGCCGCACGTTTGGGAAGCAGGGCTGTTTTTCCTAGCAGATCAATTGATCAGGTTGTCAAAGGTGCTCAGGGCTGGCAGAGACCCCACCTGGGAGCCGATGCAACGACCCTAGGACTGGGGAAACCCTGCACTGCTTTTACCGTCTCTTCTCCAAAGAAGTGAACAGCAAAACTGCAGAAATCTTAAAGAAGTAAAGAAGAAAAAAAAAAACATTGCATGTCCAAACATGTGAAGTTCCTTCGGCTACGTCATCATTATCAAGCTCTCCAAAAAGCTTAAAAATACTTGAGTTTTTAAGCTATGCCTCATCTCTTTATGATTTTTTCTTGGGGGAAAAAGGAGTAGAATAAAATGAAGATTAGACCGTATTCTTTCTTTTGCCTGTGGAAGGTTTATTTGGCCTTCTACCAGACCAGACATCTTTAGTTCCTGGGGTTGATCCAGCTGCTGCTCCAGCCACACAGTTCAGCCTCCCCTGTTATTTCGGAGGCCGAATCTTAAAAATGAGACTATCGTTTGAGCCCAAGTAACTCCGCTTTGCCCAGATCCCAGACGTTTCCCCCCATGAAAACCTGTGTCAGCTGCTGTGAGGGTGAGTCTCTGCCCCTGACTGCCAGGTGTTAAGTGCTGATTGCTGCATCCACGGTGTGGAAGTCAGGCTGCGTTTGCCGTGGTCACCCACAGCTTGTCTCACGTCAAGCAGCTGCCATCCCATTCCTGGCTTCCTTTCCTTTCGCTCTTTATTGCTGTGGTTTTTTTAAGTGAGGTATTCATGGGTGGAGTGACACTGTCAGAAGCTGAGACTTCCCTTCAGTCCCAGAATGGCCTCAAACTTAGCACGGGCAGCAGCTCTGCAGATCCCTTTGTGCTGCATATTCACTATTTTGCAAGCTTTGTGTCAGGGCAAGAAAATTGATTGATCCCCTCAGTCCTTGCTTTTTCTGCTGAGACCTACCGCTGGCTGGACTCTGTTATAGCCCATATTTCTGGACAAGCAGAACGAGAACCATGCACAATAAATGAGTCAAACCATAGCAAACAGGAGCAGGCAAAGCCAGTCCCAACTTTCAACAGCCTCGGGGATCTCTTCCTACAGCTGAACAGATGCAAACCCACTGATTGCAATGGCAGCTTTGCAGGCGCTGCACCAGGTGCAGGTACTTCTCCACGATGCTAAAGTCAGGGGTTTAGTCTGAATGGTGAATTTGAAATGGTACCGTCTGGCCTGTGGATAATTTTGCACAGTCATATAATTAAAAGGTGGAGGTGCCATCTGTGTAGGCTGCAACAACAAGTAGATCAGTCTTCAAGTTGGATAATCCCAGTTTAAGGTAAATTCGTCCAGCTGACACCAGGGATGCATATTGTCCACAATTAATTTTCCCTTTCCTGGTGCTGTAAGCACTGTCTGTTTTTGTTTAAAAAGTGGTATTTGTAAGACTCCTGCAGCTCAGTTAAGCGAAATAAAGCCCTTTCATTGTGATCCCAGTTCCCCACTGGCAGATGCTCTCAGGAGAGCATTTCCAACAGCAAGCAGCAAAGAACGCTTGCCCAGCCCTGTCCCGCAGGCTGTGCTGTGCCAGTTCTGATGGGTTGTTTTGATCCACAGGTGGTGGCCATTGATGTGGATATGGCCTTTTTTGAACCCAAAATGAGGGACATCCTTGAACAGAACTGCACAGGAGACGAAGACTGTAATTTTTTTGATTGCTTTTCAAAATGCAATCTGAAAATCAGAAAATGTGGAGCGGAGCGAGCCAATAACAACTTGCAAGTGAGTAGACACAGCTGCTTTATACATCCATTTCTTTTAAAATCACATTGACTAGAATATGTGTGGTATGTGCTAGAAGACTGTGAGATGAAGACAGTCAGGTTTTAAAATGTGGCCATATAAGTGCCAGTCTTGCTCAGAAATCCCATCTTGGGGCATGCAAGCAGATCTTTATATTCACTAGTGTATATTTGCCGTGTTTTTGTGTAGCTGTTAGCCCAATGCCTCGGGTAGGAGAGTGAAGGAAGTAGGGGCAGGGGATGAGCATTTCTGTCCCTGCTAATGGCGAAGTCGGGGCTGTCCACGTGTAAGCCGTGGCAGGGCTGTGGCTGTGATTCTCCACTCTGCAGACACAGTATACGGCTGTGGTGGAAGGCAGAGTCCCTGGGGCTCTTGGCCCTGGGGTGAGGGGTCTTACAGCTCACCCAGCTCGTGCTAGTGGGGGGCACTAGTGCAGCAGAGAGGCTGGGGGAGCGTAGGTCGGCAGCCTTTTGCCTGCCTCTCCCACCCCCTCACCCTCACCACTTGTTAAGCAGAAGTGCAAGAGCAGTTTGAGAAGAAGGGGGTTTCCTCAGCCAGAGCGTAGCCTTTGTGGATGCTCCTTTTCTACACCTTCCTCTTTGAATGGCTGGAGGCACTTTGGATTCAGATGACATTTTGCTACAGCCCTAGAGAAGCAGCAGGGCATTTAACTCCAGCTCCCGAAAGACAACAATCTGCTCTTTTTCCTTTCCCCAGGTAATTTGTGACAAAATATTCCGTCGCTGGTTCTCCCCAAATCTCAGAGGACCGTTGGTTTCCCTCCCCCTGCAGCTGCAGCTGCAGAAGGCTGTGCAGGAGTGTGCCCAGCCAGGGCACGGGGATGCTACTGGGCACCAGAGGACTCTGAAATCTCTGTCCGAGTTGTACCGCCTGCTTCGGGTCACTCAGCGAGAGCTGCAAAGGGCAGGGTAGTCACAAAAGGCAGAACTGCAAAGGCCACATCTCAGCCACTGCTAGGGGACGGGACGCTGTCTGTGAGGCAGTCTGTGTCTTCTTTCTCTGTCTCCAACCCCTCCTACCCATTGTGTTACATTTACAGCAGAGAGATTGTTTTTCTACTGTGCAAATGAAATTAATGGCTGCAGGTGCAGCACATCCTGTTAATAGCCTTTCAAGTGCAAAATTGTTTTACATTACCTGGACTTCTGCTCTTGCTTATTTTCCTAAGCTAGCGCTAGTCCTCTCCATCAGCATTCAGCACGTCGTTTGCTTACCAAGACCTGCTCAGATAGCACCTGTCTGAGTGCAGTGCTCAGAGTGAGGATGCATTTACAGAAGAAAAATGCAAGTAAGTGCAGCGAAACTAATATCAGTAAATAAAATAGTGGGTAGGTGGGTGGGGATAAGTACATGCACGGTGTTCCTTTGAATTTCTCTGTAGAATGAGCTTTTTCTAAGGTAGGGACAGAGTGCTCTGTGTGAAAAAGCAATCTCAAATAGGGAAGAGTATTGTCACATGAGTGAGGAGCGTTTTTTGCATAGAGCCGTATTTTCTGATGTCCCCAGATGCATTTTCTCTGGTATGTTGCATTACCGGTGCCATAGCTAACTTTCTGGGGAGAAATTATATGAAGGTACTTAGGACTTTTCTAGAGCAAAATAATTATACCCTTGTTGAGTTCCCATGTGGGCACGTATATTCTGCTGTATGAATAACGCCACTGAATTTTCCCATGTGAACAAGCCCTCCAGCACTTGTACATCAGAGCACTTGATAAGAAGCACTCCTTTGCCAGAGAGCAGAATTACCCCTGAATACCAACAAACAATCTGTCCTTTGCACTGAACAAAACAGTATCCAGACCCAAAGTTTTCTTACACAGTGTTTTTTTAATGAATAAAAGGAAATTTTTCATAAGAATTCATTATCTTACAGTCATTTACATAAAGATCCCTAGATTAACTTAAAATCATTAACTTTGCCTTTCAAATGTGTGTAGCTGTGGCTGGAGAATCTAACACACAGGTTCGGAAGACGCTGAATGTGTTTAGGCCCAATACTGAACAATATACCTGTGGGCTGGTTTTGTCATGAAGACATTAAAAACCCCACAAACAGAAAAGCAAACAGCCTATGACAGACCTCAGCGCAGAAGGAGTCTTCAATATTAAGACTGACAATACTGGTTTGTAGATGTGAGACATATAACAACAGCTAATCTTCTTTGTCTTTGTATCCATCAGCCTTATGACAGCCCTGAAGCCTGTGAGCTCTAATTATACATAAACTTTAAATTTCTGGAGTAGTTCTTTGAAATGAGGTTAAAGTGCCCAGGACCAGAAAACTGTGAGCTGCTTGGGAAACCTTAACACTTACCCAAAGCTAGCTCAAATTTTCAGACTTATGCTAGGTTTTTTATATTTCTTGACATAAACTACCATTATTTTAAAAATCTTACAAGCTCTCACGAAGCTCTTGAGGACAAGATCGGCTGCCTTGCTTGGGGCTGTGCTGAAGACAAGCTGCTGCTAAGCTGGAGCTACAGTTTAGGAGCTACTGACTGGTGAAGTTGTGCTCAGCCCCTGCTTCTTCTCTAACAAGGGAGACGGACAATGTTTCGATACTTTATGATCATCCTTCACAAAAGCAGAAAAGCAAAGCAGAATAAGAAGAAACCCAAATTCCAGAACATGCCCAGTTACAAAGTTGTGAAACTGGTAGAGGAGAAAATAATTAAGGGTGGAATCAGATTATGGTATAGGTTTGGAGACAGATAAAGTATCAGGTAGAGAGAAGATGGGGAAAAAGAGCCTAAAAAGAAAGAGGAAAAATGAAGTAAAAAATATGGCTCGCTTTGTGAAAACATGATTTATGATGTAAGATTGAATAAATTGGCATTTAATCTGAGGAAGAAGAAACTGAAGAGAAGCACTGTAGCACTCCTCAGAAACAGAAAGAGACTGATAAAAAGGAGTGAACTGCCCCGTCCAGCTTTCCTTGATGGATGTGCCACGCAGTGAGCTCAAATTGTTAGCAAGGAAAATTCAGGCTAGACACTTGTTACAGGCTTTGTAATAGTAAGGAACAGTGGAGTTATGACACAGATCATTTGGGAAAACGTCAGTCTTTGTAAGTTGTGATTTTTAACTACAGGCAAGAGTGAGTGCCTGTCAGGAATGATGTACATACAGTTACGTTAATGATCCTGCCTTGAGGTAGCCTTTTATCTCCAAGTTCTGTGATTCTGTTATTAACAGCTTGCGTTTGTGTTCTTGTGACTCCCTCATAACAAAATCCACCCTTCTGAGACACAGGGATAGGCAGTTCTCCTTTACCTTAATAGATGCAAATCCGTGGGGTCCCCTGGGAAGGGAAGGCACCGAGATCTCCAACTGTGCAAATGGTGCTACAGAGGCTGGTGGTGTGATTGGGGTTTGTGTGTTCCCCACATGACCTCCCTGCTGAAGGTCCTGATCCTTGCTAGGTCAGGAGAGACTCAGTATATACCCCAAATGCTGCTGAGGAACCTGAAGATCTTGTACGCTACTGCCCTCCTGTTTCCCTGGTTCCATTAATTCTTTCCTCCCTCCCAAGCCCGGAGGGTACCATCAGGGAAAAGCAAGCATCATGCAGACACTCGGCGCTTTGCCGCAGTGTTACACTCCACCACGGCAGGGCTTCCCTTCCCATTTTCAGGTTTGCATTTCAGACAGGCTAAATTTCCGTTGGATTTGATGTTTCAGTTTTAAAACTGGTGGAAAAAACATAGCGAAATGAAACCCGGTAGCAGCAAAGGCTGGTGGAATGTCACTCTGCTCAGAAGGTCCTTCTCCTTGTCAGGATTTAGGAAGGGAAGCTGCCTTTAACAGATTTCTCCAACCCCCTCAGGGCCTGGCTGCAGCCACCTCCACCTGGCAGGGGCCTGCTTCCCCCACACCACACGCTTTCCCAGGTCATTAGGTTTCACTTCTTCTTTTCACAGCACAGAGAATAATCCTCAGAAACCTCTCAGGAGTGACACAAATGCGTTATTTGTACTTGGCTGGGCTGTGAGACTGCGTTTCACTGATTCAGCCGGCTCCGGCTGGCCTTGGTGCACCTTCACTGGTGGGCGGCAGGACAAGGAAAATCTGACAGGCTGTGTGAACACAGGGCTCGATCCTTCACTGCCCCCCGGGCGCCTTGTAAAGTCACTCAGACCTGGGAAACGGGAGAGAAAAATACCACCAGTGAAGCAAGTAAATATTTCAATTTGTTCAGCACAGGTACCAATGACCAAAACAGGATTAAAATAGTAGTTGTGCCTTGATCTCCCTGGGACAGAAAGAAAAGAAAATGAAGATACTGGTTTAGCCTTAAGGAGGCAGGTGCAAACTGCAGTCATTTGAGCCTGTGCTATTTTACACCCGCAATTTTGATGGAAATACCTATACAGGTGCTTGACAAGGAGAGCCAGGCTCACGTGGCCTGGTGCTCCCTCCCTACAAAGCCCTTTTCATACCGCCTTGGCAGCGCTGCCCACCAAAAATAGCCCTGGCATAAAGAGATACCCAGCTGGCAGGGGCTTCGGGGGGCACAGCCAGGTCAGGCGGGTGTTGAATGAGAGTCCTGTGTGCTGTTGGACCCGGGCTGTTGGCACTGTTTGTTGCCATACAACAGCCAGCAGTGATAGTGGGGAAACTGCAGTGAAGCGTTCCTGGGCTCCGGTTGGAAAATTAAAAGTCATCCAAAATGATATCATGCACTACAAGAGGTTTGGGGTTGTTTCTTTGTTTGTTTGGTTTGGTTTTTTGTTTTGTTTGTTTGTTTTTTAACACCAAACCTCTCAATTTAAAATGCTTTTAAGTCAATTTTGAAAATGTCTAACATACTCAGTTTTGACAGTTGCTATCTGGAAAAATTTGCAAGTTATTTTCTCACTTTTAGTTTGTTCATACTGAAAAGGTTTGCAAAGCCAAAAAACAAAGACTGAAATGCATCATAATTTAAAAACCAGTGGTTTTGTCTGGTCTACACAGTGAAGCTTGTTAGTACCTTCAGCATTTTCTGATGTTTGCTTTTCATCCAGATTCAAATGAGAAATTTTATGAAAACTCAAAATCTTTTGCAGACGCTTTTTCACTGAGCCCCAGTCATCAGATGCAGAAAAGAGGAGATCCACATACAGTCTTTGAAGTCACCTTTGCTTCCTACTTAATTTTTGCTTTGTGCTGTTAACTTGGGCTGCAATGGTTTCTGCTTGGTTTCTCTCAGGTATCTCCAAAGCAACTTCCTCCTGGCACCTGTGTTTAATGTCAAGTTCACCACAGCTTTGTGAAATCAGAGACTGCATAAGATTCTTCATGCTCTCCATCCCCTCTGTATAAAAGATGACTCCTCTTATATAGGTTCACTAATAGCAGTTGGCTGCACTGGGAATGGCCACTTAATCCAGGAAGGCTGTTCCCTTGATCAATTAATCTCAGTCCCATCTCTTTGCTCGGTCAGTCTATACCTGAATCCTTTTTGCCCTATAAAACTGGCACTACCCCTTGATTCATTTCTACTACTTGCTGCATTAGTGCCTTACTCAGCAACTTTCTCCCTGTATTTATGGCTCTCTGTGAAACAGGAATGGCATTAAGTCATTGTTTATTCCTTCTTTGCATCTCGGTTAGCAGCATGTGCTTCAACTCTGCAATAATCTAAATACACTGTCTATTCCCACATTTTACAAGAGGTGAGTCCAGTTGGAGGTCTACTTCATAATCTTTAGGAAAGACAAATTCAACCTTTTGCTCAAGATTTTCACAAAACAACTACTTAAATGCAGATTTTTCTCCAATTGTCATTGTATGCTCTGCAAAAACATCCACAAGCAACAGTCCCACACTAGGGTGGTGTGAAACAGAGCAAAACTCCTTGCCCCAAGGGATTTACATGGTCTCCTTTGTGTTTTGAGGCTGACTTCATGGTGACTATCCCAGAACAGCAGGTCATTGTATAGCCACGGTTTTTCACATAGAAACTAGTACTCCCTAGTGAGAATCCACAGTCCCCACCTCCACTGAGAGCATTCAGATATATTGCTGGAGGAAGCACTAGAGATAACAACAGATATTTGGGACTGGAGGAAAAGAGAGGGAAGGGTGTGTTTTCTTATTAGAAATATTGACTCAGTAAAACACTTCCTACAGGTGAAAGATGGGATCATGAACTTGAAAGAGTTAGAGACTCCTCACTGACTTATTTTTTCTTCATTAAAAAAGTGTAAACCCAAGCTGCCCTTTTTAATTTCATATGTAGTTTTCAGAAAAAAAAAAAATAAAGGAGCCACATACCATGTTGCCTGTCTTTCAGCAGATCATATTGTTCTATGTAATAGGCAGGAAGGTGATAAATTGCAGCTTTTAATGAGTATCAGGCTGTAACATCAGAGCCTTGTGGTTGTAATATCAGTTCACACATCTAGACAACCAACTGTAAAAAACTCCATAACCAGGACCAGTGGAAACATACAATCAGATCAGCATCTAGGCAGATGCTCTCGGAAGCCTTGTACACATGAATGATGAAATCCCTCTGTCGGGGTTGACTTGCAGTGAGTCCAAGCAACAAGCAGAGTCACTCTGCAGGAGCCTCAGTTGCTGCCACTTTCTTGGATCCTCAGTGAAATCAGGAGAAAGGCTACTAGGCTTTCAGTAGCAGAAAAAGGCAGTTACACGTAGGGAGGGAAAGAATGAGTTGCTTGGAAGAATGAAAATCCAGGACGACTGAACTCAGAACTGAAGCTATTAAGAGACCCCTTACTGAAAAATCAGAGAACATCAGTAAATTGATTGGAAAAAAAACCACAAATACTTCTTTTATAGCTATTGCAAATACAAAAAAAAAAAAAAAAGAATAGCAGCACTGGGGATATAGTGCAGGCATCTCCAAAGCCATTTGTTGTATGCATCTAAGGATCTGTCAGGTAGACTGCAGAGCTGTGTAATGATGTCTGCAGCCTAAAGGCTAGACAGAATAAAATAATTTAGCAAAATCTTTTAGAACTAATATTTACATAAATGCAGAAAACTGCTCTAATTAGTAACAGCCTATGTCAGTCAAAAAAGGAGAAAAGAGTGCTTTTCTCCATAGAAGTGCTATTATGTCTATAAGTAATGGCAAAGTGTTGAACCATAATCCCTTGGATTTTTAAAGGTTTGATTCTGCAGGCTTGGGCCCCTAAACAGCAGAGTGATTGCTGAGCTCCTTTAAACTCTATGATTATTGGTGCCTTCTGCAATATACTTTGAGCTCCTTTTTTCTGTAAACTGGAGGGGCTTTTTCCTACACTACATATGTGCCTAAGTGGTGACGGCAGCCAGAAGGATGTGCATATGATCCAGTGCATAATCACTTCCACAAGCATCTGCTGCTAGTGCTTTCAAGATACATGTAATCCAAGCTGGAGACTGTTGTGAATACTTCTTATTTTCCCTTGCTGGTTCCTTAGTGGTTTGCTTGTAGCTAGTTAGAAACAGAATCCCCCCCTCCTGCTTAAATTGGTTATAATCTCTCCAAGATTCACGCTACAGCAGGAAAAGACCAAACTGCATTGAGTTCAGGATGGGTTCATTCTCTTAAAGGCACGATATGCAAAGCTGCAGGAAAGAACAGAGGTTAATTTTTATTTCTAAAGAAGAGGTTCTCTAGCTAAATGTAAGTAGCTGAAAAAATAGATGTTTCAACCAATATCCTGTGTACATTTATGAATTAACGTTCGTCTGTATTTGCATAATCTAAAGCCCGCTGCTCCTTTCCCATTCAAAAGAAAATTTAAAAAATCAGAACTTATTTTCTACTCCAAATTTCACAGGTATGCCAATTACTTCTTTCCCATTTCTATGTCAGACATTTCAGATTGTATCTTTGTCCTTAGGAGATTGATTTTTTCCATTATGCCAAGAAAGGGGTTATCTGGAAAAGTACAGTTTCCAAAAATTAATTGTTTCTCTTGTTCAAGGGTTATTAAGTACCATTCTAATCTTGCAGAGAGTTATCAGTGGCTAAATATTTATTACATGAAACCGGGGCTTGATTAATGGACTCAGTGTCTAACAATAACTAAATAAATTTCCATGTAATTACTCCAGTGTTCAGAATTTCGCTTTTAATGGAACAATACCAGTATTATCCTATCTGATTCTAGATTACATATCTACAAGTAAGTGCTTTGCCAAACTTATGTTCAGATCTGCTTTCGCATGGGCTAAGACTACAACTGACTCTTGGCAAAACTGTGTGCTGGGACCAGAGCACAGAGGAACAAAAATAAGTCTTACAAACTTATATCCATGGTCTTTCTTTTAGACATCATATTTGACTGTTTGTGGAGTAAAAGCAGTGTGTGTGCACACAGATACTCAGGCATCTGTTTGTTGGACTGTAAATTCATGTAACAACTGCTCAGCGAATAGCTCACAAATGTCTGGCATATTTGTTTTTCCTAGTATATTTGCTATAAATTGGGAGAATGCAAGAGTAATTAGCAACATGAATGAGCGTCACACAGTGTAGAGAAATAATGAATAATTAATGGAACGCTTAATCAAATTCTGCATTTTTACCCATTGATTACACCAAGTTTTCTTAAGCGATTAAAGAGTTAAATTTGTTGGATCACATTCTAGTCTTCAACTCTTAGAAAAGAGCAGATGAAGAGTATTATATTAGCCAAAGCAATATCGCTGAAGAGGCATTAGTTAATGCAAGTGTACTGCGTGAATTTCCATTGCCATTTCAGTAGGTACCTCTCAAAAGAGAAGAAATGAAGCCCAGAGCCAGACAGGACGGTGATAAGCACCACTGAAATGCCTGCAAATGGATTCTACATTAAATAGCAGGGACAGATCTTCAGTCCCACCTCATTATTTTTGCGTTGGTTTTCCCTTCCATATGCACTTACGTGAATTCACATGTGATATTAGCACGTTTTAGGGCTCAGGTCAGATTTACACCAGCATAACTTGCTGGCGTTTTGGTGTGTGCTCTTGATTCACGTCAGCAGGAGAGCAGGAGCTCCTTGCGTTTTAAATGGACACAGGTAGGAGTAATATGAGCAATAAGCTCATCTAATAATGTGAGAATACAGAAGTTTAAGCGCAGCCCGCAGCTTTTTTCCTTTCCCCAGCAGAAATCTCTGCGGAAAGGGTGATGCGCGGCGGCGCTGCCTCGGAAGGAATCCAGGGCTGCCCACAGGGACGGGGGCACTGCCCACCGCTGCGGCTCCACGCGGGCTGGGGCCTGGCCCTGGGGCTGCACCTTGCCACCTCCTCTCGGCTCGAGGGCCCGCCAGGGAGCTCGGGGGCACCGGTTCTGCTTCTCTCCTGCACCACGAGCAGATAGATCAGGCTGAGCTGCTGGTTGAAGGCCGTAGCTCAGCCCCTCTCCTCTGACAGCACCGACTATTAGGCAATGAGTTACGGGCGTTCACTCTCCCAGTCCCCGAGTGCAAGCTTGCTGGGAAATAAAAGCTGCTTCTCTCATGGATCCGCACAGGATGCTGGCAGGCGAGCCTCTAGCAGCGCTCCCAGCGCTGAGGTGTCTCCCCCAGGAAAATCTCTCTTATAACCAGGGTCCTTCCCAGACCCGGCACAATGGTGGGGCGCTGCGTGGGGAGCTCACCCCACCGCTCACCCTCCTGCCCCTCTGGCATGGGCTGCCAGCCCCTTTCCCATGCCGAGACCGGTGCCGCCGGGGCACGCCACATTCATGTCAAGAAGCGCGGTGAAAGAAAACAAAACAAACGCGGCACCATGGAAGTTCCTTGTCTATTGTTTTCACCCTGTTCCCACAGCTCCAGGATCTTGACAGCTTCACACAAACTTTGCTGAGAAAGACATACCCTCATAATGTAGCCTGCTGCAAAAAGATTGTCAGAGTGAATTTAATACTATCTGCTTTTCCATGTGGGAAACAGATAAGAATTGTCTGAATAATCCCTACAAAATAAGGCAGTTTTTCTGGAAGGGATAAAGGAAGAGAAAGAATTTGTTGGGCTCTATCCTTTCCTATAATAGACAGCAAAGCACAGCAAGGCTGTGTCTAGTTTGTAGTCCTGGAGTTCACAAAGCTGTCAGCCAGATCAGACGCCGTCTCTGGAAGCAGCAGGGATTTCAGTGCAGGCACACAGACCTGCTACGGCATTTGAATAAAAGTCTGGTACCTGGAGCGTGCAACTACACAGCTATAAATGTTTAAACTGGCTGCTCCGAGTGCGTGTTCTCAAGCTGCAATGGTGCTGGAGTGCAGAGCAGAGCTGGAGCAATGCCAAATCAATAGGTATGGGCTTTTAAAGAGTGCTTGTATGTACCTCTGTGGACAATTCTGGTGCTGTGAAGCGCTATGAAAAGCAGAAGATAATGGTGTCTCTTCATGAGAAATAGAAAGCCATACCAAAAAAATACAGCCTTTCTCTTGCATAGGAATAGGGAAGATTATTATGAAAAGAGGCTGAGGGAACTGGGTTTGTTTAGCCTTAAGTGACTGCTGTGTACAGCTAGCTGGAGCGTGTAAAGCAGGTGGAGCCAAACTCTTCTCAGAAGGGCACGGTGGCAGGACAAGAGGCAACAGGCACAAGCTGGAACATAGGAAATTCTAACTCAGTATTATGAAAAAGTTTTATACTGTGAAGAGGGTCAAGCACTGGAACAGGGTCCCAGAGAGATTTCAGAGTCTCCATCCTTGGAGATATTCAAGCTTGACAGGAGAAGACTCTGAGAAATCTGTTCTAACTGGGCCTCCTTTGAGCAGGAGGTTGGACTAGGTGACCAGCATGCAGCCTTTCAAAAATGTCAACCAGAGTTTAAAAATAAGAGAAACATAATGGTCCTTCTTAACCATTATTAATCAAAATACCCAAATGTTTCTTGTAACTGTCTCTATTCTTTATGTGAAGGAGCCAGAAGCACATATTTGGTCTCTATCAAACAAGTGCCCTATCCAGTTGTTTGTGGGCATCTTCTACTCTAAACTGAAGCACAGATTTCACACTCTGGCCTAGCCAAAGCCAACGCAGGCTCTGAGGAAGCCGAGGAATGAGAAGAACAAGAGTTTCATGAATGCCAAGGAACTGCAGAGTTGCACTGCCAACGGGAAGAATCCTCTGCAAAATTCTTGAATCCTAAAACTTAATCTCCATCTGAACTTCTAGGACAATATGATCATGGTTTAAACATTTTGTTGTCTCTATTAGGCTAAGTGAATAGGGGCCTCATTGTGCCAGGTGCTGGACGGGACCAGAGTAATGACCAATGCCTGAGTTTGCATGCACGTTTGGACCGCTCTGGCCTGCTCTGTAAGAGACTCTCAGGGGCAAAAGCGGATATCAGTATAATCTATGTCCACTGCAAGTCCTCAACATGAGAAAAAATCCGAATCAAGCCCAATAATTTGGTGCCCCTGGGTGTGGCTTCCTCCCAGGCAGAACCTCAGTGCTGAGAAAACCCCACTGCTCCTCCTTTATCTTAGGCACAAAGGATTAAGGACAAAAAGAGACCAGCCAAGCACTGGAAGTACAAAGATTTTTAAAAGTAGCTGTCATGGAGCTAGCAGAGAATTATAAAATCAATTCTGCAGAAATACAAAAATAAATACCTTTTAGTTGTTCAGATGAATAAGACAGAGCAAGAGTCTAAGTAATATATCACTGTTGTTAGGAGCTTGAATATTATTGTTTTTTCTCCCCAAAGAAGTAGTATATGTGGCAGATAAAAAAGGGTTGCTGTTTTCTGTTTAGTTTTGGTGTTTTTTTTAAAGCATTATGCCAAGTTGCTGTTTTCAAACACATGTCGATGCTGGGAAGAAATGGGCATGTATCCATCTTGCCTTCAGGCCAAACCATTTAACCAGAACTGGGAATACTGACAAACTTTCTCAACCTCTCTCTCTCTCCAGTGCAATTGGATAAAGCAACCCTTTGCAGATCTCTCTGTGAAAATTACCAGTAAAAATATCATGCTGCGTGCTTCTGTTTATCAAGTGGAAAATTATTTTTAATGTACTCCTGAAACAAGGTAACAGGTAAGAGGCAAACATTCTCATGGTCATTATAAAGGGGTATGTGTCAGTCTGTAAATCAATAGCTGGCTCGATGCCATTCTCTTCTGAATGGAAACCGACTCTTTCTGCAGAGTTCTGATCACACCAGCTGAGCATCAATGCTAAGCAGTGTGTAGCTATTAGGGAAAAACTGAGCACAACAACACAAATCATGGAGCCCCTGACGAACATCTCTGCGCATGGCTGCTTCTTCTAATCACCAGTAGAATTTAATGAGACACCTGCACTTCATAGACACTCTTGTTCCAACATAAATTGCCTTGAGAGCACAAAGTCTTCTTCTAATAAACTAAACCATAAACCACAAGGAGTTCATTGTCACGAATAACATACTCCTTATTAATTTATAATTGTATGAAAACACATTCTCCCATACATGACCTACAACAGATTTGAAGATTAAGTCAAAGGCTGTTAATATCTCCTAATTAGCCCAGTTCTAAAACATTTTAGTTTTCATTAATAAAACAGTGTTGGACACCTTGAAATTAACCCCTTGCAATGCTGCAAAAATCGTAATTCTTCATAAACCTGACCTGTATCAGGTGAAGGAGAGGACTGAGTGAATCCCATGGGTCCCTAGGTAGGAACAAGCTCAGGCAGGTGGGGATTCCTCCAGCTGACTGCAGCCATGGATGCTCCTGTCTCACCTTCCACTTCTATTGCAGTGAGGGGGCAGCTTGGACTGCCAAAAAACACAGAGGTGGTTCATTAGTGTGCCAGAAAGGATAAAGGTAATGTATACCTTGTCATACCTTATCACATTTGCAGAGAGGAGGCAATAAAACCCTTTATTTTCCAATCAGCAATGTGTCCTTTGCTTCATGGCAGAAGAAACAGAGAATGGTATCTCCTGAAAAAAAAAAAAAAAAAAAAAACAAAAAAACAACAAAACTTGTTCCTCTGAATCAGCGAGCTTAAAGAGGGAGAAAAGGCTTGTTGCTGAGAATTAGGGATATTGACATTCAGCAGGTAAACAGATAGAAATCACTGGCATAAATTGTTACATCTGTGTTGTGCCCCGGAGCTTGGACCAGAACGTAGTGTGGCCACAGCAAAGAAGCTTATCAAACTCTCTTCAGTAGGTGCACAGGCTGCCCAGGCATTTGGCTACGAGTGCTTTGTTACCACTGACAACAACATTTTGACTTTTTAACATCTGGATACCAGAGGATCTTTGGTCTAATTCTGTTGCAACCTTCAAATATCTGAGAGTTTCCTTAGAAGGGTCCTCAGAAATTGTTAGCACATTATAAATTGTGATCAGTGCTAACACAAGCCTGCTGCTTTTAGGAGGAAAAGGGTTTGCGGCATTAGTTAGTGGAAGAGCATTTAATAGCAGCACTGAAAAAAGTAATGGAGCTTTCATTCTGCTCCTCTTTTGTTATCAAATATAATCCCTTTGTCAGTGGCTGCCTCTCTGACGGTTCATATCCTCTTCCCTCCATGGACAATAGCTGCATTTCACA